GCGGCGTTGGCGATGACTTTGCAGAAAAAAAAAATTAAAAATTAAAAGAAATTTAAATGAAATGAAAGGAGTTCATAGTGACCATCCCCTAGCATCAGGGTTGGGCCGACCTCTGGCTCTCCTAGCCCTGCGCACTGAAATGGGCGTATCGACCACTGTGGGGTCAGCTCTCTTGCTCCTCCGGCCCCGGACCCCTCATGACCGCAGAGGCTGCTCTATGAGGTGTTGAAGACAAGGGCAGGAAACCTGAACTCCACCCCTCTCCCAGGCTAGAGCCTGCACATAAATATGGGATGTCCTCTCCAAGGCTCCCACGTGCCTCTTTACTGCAGCCATGTCCCGGACCCAGGGGCACTCAGCTAAACGTTGTGAAGGGATGTAACCCCCGTGTGGATATGCTTGCTAACCCAGCATCTCTGCTACTTCACCCACAGTCAACATCCATGGAGCTGGGTCAGCTCGTGGGGCCTTCCTCAGGGGCTACTACTGTACAAACTTCAGTAGCCTTGGCCTCCTGAGGGATTTCCTGGCTCTGTATTCTCCATCATTGTCTTTCTTGCTATTGTGTGTGCCTGGAGTAGTAACTTCCTTCAGTAACAATCCATTAGCTGTCTGGAAACATCTCCAGAGACCAAAGCAGAGCTTGGAAGGGGCAACGCTCCCCTCTCTAGCCCTACTCTGACCCTTTTGGCTCTGAAGGCCCTTAACCGTGAAGGATGCATTCTTGATTCACCGGATTTTACTTTCACCTTAGTCCCTGCTGTTGTTAATCGCATGACATTCCCCATTGCCAGGGTTCCTGGCTGTATGAGATGTCCCAGTTACCTATGACAAGCCATCAGCCCAGGGTTCTCCCTGTTGTCACTCTGAGGGCTTCTGAGTGCACCCTCCTTGGCTTCTCAGAAGGGCTATGCTGTTTATAACCCATCATCCTACCTTCCAGAGCTCTGCATTGCTTCTCTGTTTGCCCTTCTCTGATTGCATACTGAATGACCACTTCTCAGTGAGTTCTTGTCTTTCTCTGATCTGCAGTTCCTTTATTTTCCAAACGTTGTCTCCTTTGTTAACTATTTGTGCCTGCTTCTCCAAGGCCTTTATCTATCTACTCTGAGCAGAGTGTCTTGTTTTGTAAAAAATTATGTGTATGGGTGTTTTGCTATCATGTATGTATATGTACCACCTGCATGCTGTTACCAGAGGCCAGAAAAATGCCCTAGGGCTGAGGTTACAGACATATAAGCCGCTAAGTGAGTGCTGGGAATTGACTCAGGTACATGAAGTTTTCCCCAGCACCCATGTCCACTAATAACAGTCTGAAACTTCGGTTTGAATCCTTGCTCTGGCCTCTGCAGGCAATGTATTCATGTGGTGCACAGCCATACATGCAGGCAAAATACCCATATACATAAAGTAATAAAGACAAAAATCAAAGAGTTTAAATGAAGTTGCCCAATAATGGGGCAATGATGCCCCTGCTAGACACCAGAGGCTGACAAATAAAAAGCCTAGTACCAGGAATGGGTTACTTCTTTTGGAGTTGTTAGACACTGCATTTCCATAGACCCCCCAAAATTACAGGCTACTACCATTGTTCTTGGTTACACTACCATTGTTCTTGTTACCCTCCAGACCTTGATAGTGAGTTTCTTAGTGCTGGATATACCATACTTTAGTCATAGGTTATGAAGAAATTAAACTGGTGCTATTCTGGAAGCTTCATTTCTACTGGCTAACTTTCCCAGTGCTATAAGGTGTTAAGTACACTACCAGGAGAGAAAAGTAAACAACAGTCTCAGTAGCTATGAACCCTGCAACCTATAATGACTGGTCTTGTACAACATACCCACTGATGCAATAGTGGTATAAACATCATGGGAGTAACCATTTTCTGATTGGATTTAAGTTCCATTTCACAAGGTGAACCCCAGACCTGGATCCACTGTTGGGGCAAGAACCAGTGGCTAGATGGGTCATAGGCTCTGTGAGAGAGCCCACTACTATTATTCTGCTAAATGAACATAGTATTAACTAATCTGATTAATTAATGTGCCTTTCCCCTCATCGATGAAGCTTCTATTTGCAGTAGGTAGTGATTAACACAGAGACCCATAACTGGCCAAGATGCAGAGAGTAAGAGACTGGAATGCTCAGACCTAAATTGGGACATGTACCTCACACATCCTGTCTCCCAAGGCTCAGGGGTCATTGCTGAAGAGGGGGTGGGAAAAGTTTTAAGAGCCAGAGGTGGTGGATGATTACAAGGAAATAGTGTCCTCCAGACAACAGGGCAGCTGTATATGAGAATGGACATCAATTTTGACAGCATGAGTAAGTCCCTTGAAAGTTCACTCCAGACCAAATGTAAGCATGGAGAGAAGGGTTAGACATGAAGTCTTACCACTAGCCAGGGAGCTCCTGGCTATTGATAGCTGCTGAGGAGTCAGTTGAAGAATGTTGCTCTGATAAATGGACCACATTCCAATGGAAGGCTACACATTCAGTACATGGGCTACACAAATTGGACTTGATGTGTGACAAGGGGGGGCACAAAGTTGGGGGAGTAGATGGGGGTAGATCTGGGGAATGGTTAGAATG